CCCCCCCCTCGTTAATATTCATGCCCGCGTGGAAATTTACACGAACGCACACGAAGGTCGCGCACTCCACATGCCGCACCCCTCCCCTCATTAATAATCATGAGCGGGTGACGTCACTCCACATGCCGCACCCCACCCCAATAACCATTAGCGGATGACGTCACTCCAAATGCCGCACCCCTCCACAATAACCATTAGTGGGTGACGTCACTCCACATGCCGCACCCCTCCACAATAACCATGAGGGGGTGACGTCACTCCACTTGCCGCACCCCTCCACAATAACCATGAGGGGGTGACGTCACTCCACTTGCCGCACCCCTCCACAATAACCATGAGGGGTGACGTCACTCCACATGCCGCACCCCTCCACAATAACCATGAGGGGGTGACGTCACTCCACATGCCGCACTCCACAATAACCATTAGCGGGTGACGTCACTCCACATGCAGCACCCCTCCACATTAACCATTAGCGGGTGACGTCACTCCACATGCAGCACCCCTCCACAATAACCATGAGGGGGTGACGTCACTCCACATGCCGCACCTCTCCACAATGACCATTAGCGGGTGACGTCACTCCACATGCCGTACCCCTCCACAATAACCATGAGGGGGTGACGTCACTCGACATGTCGCACCCCTCCCCAATGACCATTAGCGGCTGACGTCACTTCACATGGGGCAACCCCCCTCCCCCTCATTAATAATCATGAGCTGAACAATTTTTCTATTGAATATTTCAGATTTATTGCAATATACACCCGTCCTTGGACGGGCAAAAAAAGCTCGTGTCAATATACTCTGATGGGACGGGGAGGCTCTTTGGCTCGGCAAGTGCTCGCGAGCGCCGCGTTCTGACTGCCGTGCGTCGATGAACCCTTGGGGGGTGGGGTGGGGTAAGGGTCTCTCTGCGCCGCCTTCTCCTCGTGTCTTTGTATTCACGGCACCGCCACCGCGTGATGGATGCGAGCGGCTGGGTGGGGCTGTGTCATTCGGAGGGAGGAGCAGGAGGCGTTGGGGGTGGGTGGTGGTGGGTGGGTGGGTGGGGAGAGAGACCGAGGGGCGAGCGCGCCTGTGCGTCGATATACGCCCCGAAAATTGCCTTGGGTTGCGAGAGCGAGACTTTTCTGAAAACATTTGTGGCTCGGGTGACGGGGGGGGGCACGGTCGCCCCTCACCACCCCCCCATCCCCCGCCCCCTCCTCTCCCCCCCCCCGGCTTCACAGCCACAAATCAAAGCCACGGTCGGTCACGTTATTGAGCGCCCCTCCGAGTAAAGAGGGGGCGAGAAGGAGGTGAATATACAAATGAGTCAACATTTTTGTTTTTTTTTGTCTTCGTCAACCGCCGTTAACTCGCTACGAGATCCAGCCTGGTCACCAATGACTGCAAACGGTAAACGCAAACCATCACTGCACAGACAGATCGTCACGCTGAGATTGTGTGGTTTTGGTGAGTTCATTTTTTTCTCATCCCGGGCACCGATGGTTACGCGGAGGAAATCGCCACGTCACGTGTTGTTCTGCAACCTTAACGTGACTAAATTTGATTTCTACCAGAATCTGAGGATCAGGTTGGAGCGGTGTCACGCGACGAACAATTACCAGGGACGCGTATGGGGGAAGATAAAGGTTTGACGATGAGCAATAGTGGGTTAAGTGGTAATGTGGATTATAAAAATCAGATGGGCCTAAAAATCAGATGGGCCTGAAATGGCTGAGCGCTCCCACCCCCCCCCCCCCCCGTCCGAAATAATTCCGAGCTCGTGAGGCGTTTCAGCAGTGACGGGACTAATGCGTAAGCGTGTCGAGGGATGAATCCCCTCGGATTTCTCTGGTAAATCCAGTTTCCTCCCACGCACAAAACGTCTTCAAAGCAGTAATTTGGCCAAACACCCGCTGTAGGGATTGTGCCAAGCCTCACTAAACCTTCGCTGGGTAAACAGAGAATTGTTTATTATTATTATTATTAACGCGCCACCTAAATCCTGACCCTTTCGCTTACATCCCTGAGACGGCCCTTAAAGCCCTCACTTGTCGACAGTGAATGTAACCGCTTTAAGCAGTTAACGCGCACATAACGCACTTAATGAAAACAAATTCGCTGAAAGCTGCCCGGTGCCTTAATGCGATGGGAAACGATTTGGCAGGAGAAAGTTTTAATCCGAATTTTCATAATCAGGAAAAATGCACTGCAGGATTAACATATGTCACCGTGCTGCCGCGAAAAACCACTCGCTGGATCCACGCAAAACAAAGACAAAGATCCCCCGTGTAGCCTGTAACAGACCGTTGGGGCAAGTGCTGTTAGCGAGCACCTACGAAGGGCCGGCACGGCACGCGAGGGCGGGGGGGGTGGCCAACAACACGCCCGGCCGCCTTTGTCTCCCTCGCGGCGATGTCTACACACCGCACCAGGTACTCATTTGAGGCTGAGTCGACCTAGGGGAGGCCCAGGAGCGGTGCAGACAATCGTCACTGGGTGTTGGCCGTGAGCGGGATTCGAACCCGGGTCGCCGGGTTCGTAGCGCAGCGTAGCGCTAACACAGCTGAACCACCGCTCGCTCGATCCAGCAGGCTGACGCAACCCGCACACACGCACGCACACGCACGCACACAGACGCACGCGCAAGCACGCACACGCACGCACACACGCGCACAGACACACGCCCGCGCAAGCACAGGCACACACGCACACACACACGCACAGACACACACACGCGCAAGCACAGGCACACACGCACACACACACACGCACGCGCAAGCACGCAAATGATTTCCCGGTACTCACTTGGTGGGGGGAGTAGGCAGAGTGGAGGTGGGGAGGGCTGGCGCTTCATTCTAGACCAGAGGGCGATGATTGCTTCTCATTCCGGTCGTTTAGCTGCCAAGCAGCTCCACGCTGGTTTTGATATTCGCCGGTGCTCAGTGTCCAGTGCCTAGCCGGTGGCGGTGCATGCGATGGGCTCCCTCAGCCCAGAGCTAGGAATACGATTTACAGATTCGCAGATGAATTTCTGAGTCAGAGATTTCCACGGTGGTCGGGGAGGAATGGGGAGGGGGGTCTCTAACAGCCCACAAAACCTGCACTGCTCTATAATGATCAACTTGGGTCAATCTCGATGGAACCAGACCAGATAGAACCCAGACCAGATAATCTTGATTTGAAGCTTTCGTGACTGCGGGAATCCATACTCTTTGGTTCTTTCGGTAAAGTCACGTAGTTAGAATTAAAATAAAAAATAAAAACAGAAAAATAAAAAAAAAATTCACTCGTCGCTACCACCTGAAATGGCATCGCTTCAAACGGTACCAATTGTCTCGTTGTGGCCAAACAAACAGTGAATTTACGTGATGAGGACTTGAAATGAGTCACATTACTGTAGCAGGCATGTCACTTGCATTAGCCACATCAACAAATCCGTACCGCTAGAGGTATGCCACCTCAGGCGATACCAATTTCTGCAGTGGCCCATGGACTACGTGGCACGTGCAGGCCGTAATTTATTTTCGTTGTCATTTTACAATGACAATTATTGACCCAGAAAAAAAGCCTAAATGAGTTTTCACAACTACTTTTTTTTTCTCAGGAAGGCCGTGCACTAGAAATATTTTACCAGTACAGGAAACGTGGACTCCCACCACCTGTTCCACCTGTATGGGAATAGAGCGTCCCCCCCCCCCCCCGACGCAAATGCGTGGGTTGTCCTCACTACGTCCACCCACCCCCCCCCCCCTGTCACGTTTCCGCTACTTTCCCTCCTGGCTCCCCTCCATTGCTCCATTGTAATAAACTCCCACACCCCATCACACAGGGCAACTTCACGAACCATTCTTGACTCGAAGCTTTCGTGACTGCAAGGATCCATACTCTTTGGTTCTTTCGGTAAAGTCACGTAGATAGAAAATTAATAGTTATCCTGCTGTGTTGGTCTCACCTGGTGACGGTTGCTTGTGTTGCGATCGAAACGTCGTGATCTATTAATTTTCTATCTCCATGACTTCACTAACCATTTTTTCTTCCTCCCTTGAGCCTGATCTTTTTTCAAAAGCGTATTCCTTTACGGCTTCCTCTCCTCGTCCTTAACCCCCCCCCCCTCCCCGATTCCCTCTCCTAACCTCGCCCCTCCCTTTCCCTACCATCACCCTTCCTTGCCATCCCTTCCCCTCCCCAACACTCAAACACCCATCCCTTTTCCCCATCGGCCAATAACTAATGTACCATTTATTATTCTTGTAAAGCGCTTTGACAAAAACGCCGTATAAAATCCTATATAAGATAAGGAACTGTGCTCCGGTTCCTTCCTACACCCAGACACTCATTGATTGGCTGATTACATCTTTCTATAGAGAGGACTGCAGAGCTTGGGGGGTGGGAAAATGTCGCTTTGACTGCGGTGCCTCCTCGCGCCTCCGAATCGTCTTTATCTCTTCAGGAGTGAGTGGAGGCTGTGTGGGCGCTGCAAATTGAAATCGCGATTCTTCGTATCATTATCATCACCATAGGGGCCGTCCATAAATGACGTCACGCGTTTTTGGACGATTTTTGACCCCCCCCTCGTCACACGGCGTCACAAAAAGTCAGATCCCCCCCCTCAAATATGACGTCACAAAGCTCTGCCCCCCCCAAAAAAAACATATTTCCATTTTGAAAATAAAACATGCTTCAAATCGCTTGAAAGTATTGTCATTGTAGTGCGTATTTAATGTGGCGCTGCACTCGGATGTTGTAGGAGTGTTGGTATAACAGTTAGTGTTGTTATAACACTTAGTGTTGTTATAACAATTCTATATTTATTTAAAGTTGCGCATTTTGATGTGACGTCACATTTCTCACCCCCCCCCCTCCGTCACACATCGTCACAAATGTCTGACCCCCCCCCCCCCAGGTGCGTGACGTAATTTATGGACGGCCCCATATGAATAGGAACATATTTCAGAGATCCCTTCTTTTTCAAGCAAATCCGCAACCCTTTCTCGTTTTTGTCATTCCAGGAACCAGCCATCAAACCACCAAGACCTCTCTCTCAACATCTTCCAGAGGTCAGATCCCTTACACCTATTGATCAATCAACTCGATACATGGAGATGCACCCACACACGTATATTCATATAATTATAGAATAATACAGTTTTCATAGCGGTTATGGCGCTCATATGCCTCAGTAACTCAATACACCTCATCTCAAAACATTTGAAGGGCACCCCCCAGTGGCAGCTATCGCTCTGCGGCACGAGGTGACTCAGCACTGGTCTGCGATCGGGCATTAGTCTTCTATTATGTGACCATGATTGTGATGTGTAATCCCAATTCAGTAATTTGACGGTTAATTTTTTAAATGTGTCACGGTGGCGAGGTTAACCACCTCGCCTGGTACACAGGAGGTCATGGGTTCGATCCCGACACTGACGCCTGCTGTATATTTGAAGTTTGCGTGTCTCTCTCCCCATGGTCGCGTGGATTTTTCTCCGGGTCCTCCGGTTTTTCCCTCTACATATACAAACGTGCTTTTGGAGTATTTGGCTGCTATACATTTCTACGTGACAAGCCTCTTCATTGGGCTTTCATTTGTGACCAGATCGCTTCTGAAAAAGAGCTATACAGCTCAGACGGCCGTTACCTGGTTGAAATAATTTAAAAAAAAAACGTTTATTTTAGTCAATGACCTCGTCTCTAATGACGTCTGAGAAGTTATTTCGCGTCCGTTGCGAAGGAGGCGCGCGCACACACCCGTACACCGCAGTCATAACCAGGGTGGCCTGCCGGTGTGCAACCGCGAATCTCTGCGACGAGCGGCGAGCACGCTCCGGCCGGGCCACGCCGCCGCCCGCCCAGAACGCGGTGCGCGCTCCACGCACTGTGCTCTCTCTCTCTCTCGGACATCTGCGAAGTGTTCCATCATCTCGAAAGCGATTTTTCCATCGAGCTGACATGAGCCGGAGCGCGCGTGTTTCGGTCCCTGATTTGTGATAATCGCGCGCGTGTTGAGTGTTTCGACTGGAGCCTACGGAACCCTGCCGATGGAGGGCGTCGCTTGTCTCTCGATCCGGTTCATGCCGAGGTCACTGACGCGCGCGTCGATGGCTCTGCAGAGTACCCCGGGTGTCCCGAAGGTCAAAGTACCCCTGGTGATGTGAACAGGTCGAGCGTACAATGTGACCCAGTCCAATGAAAATGTCGCAATTTAAATGGGCGTTATGGTGGCGCTGTGGTAGCAATATTCGTGCCTCAAGAATCGGGGGCGGCTCTCTGTGTGGCGTTTGTGCATTCTCGCCCTGTTCTGCATGGATTTTCAACGCGCTCTCTACAGTTTCCTCCCATAGCTAAAAAAAAAAATGGCACACAATGGAACATCGGCCAAATTTGCCAATGCTAAACTACAAAAATCCTACAAATGACTCAATCGGCATTACACGTATGTACACGTATGTTGAACTTCATTCGAAACCGTACATAGCCGACCGTGCTAACGGGAGGTGCGAGAAAGGACAACATAGAGCTGTCATCAACCCCCGACTGTGACTTGGCAGGACCCTCCCCAAAAAAAAGAGTCTTGAGACTCAATGAGGCTTGCCTGGGTAAAGCAAGCGTAATAATAAAAATAAATTACAATCCCGCCAACAACGTTTCGCTTCCCACTGGCCCCGCCATCATCCCCCCCCCCCCCCCCCCCACCTTGCCAACCCCGCCACTCACTACAATAACATTTACAAGCATCACGAAAGTCGCAGTTAGGCCCCTGCTGTGCACCTGGGGGAGCCGCAGATGGGAAGGCGTTGCTCTGGCACGGGAGTCGACTCGAGTCTCGAGTCTCGAGGCCAGCGCTGGCGGCGACAGGCACGAATTAAGCCGAGCGACAAAACAAAAGCTTACAGAACCCCAAAAGTTGCTCAAGCGCCCTCACCACCACCCCCCCGCCGGAGATTCATGAAAAATGACGTGACCCAAATATCAGCTCGAATTCCGTGTTCCCCACGAACATGACGGTCTAATTAACACACTCAATAAAAGTAAACTTCTCTCTCTCTTCATTCTGTATAGCGTAGCTGCATCTCCCTCTCGTCTTACAACCACCGCTCTTTGCCTGTTGTCGGCATCTCTTTAATTTCGCTACATCATCGCCGTCTGCTCTGTATCTTCTGTCATCTCGCTATGTATCCTCTGTCATCTCACTAGGACTTTATGCATCGGAATGACTACTTTCCTGCTCAGCCCCCCCCCCCCCCCCCAATCCGCCCCCTTTGTATCGCGGTGGCGAGATGTTAACTACCTTACCTGTTATACAGGAGGTCGTCGGTTTGACCCTTGACCCTGACGCCTGTATATTTCGAGTTTGCATGCCTCTCCCCCGTGGTTGCGTGGATTTCTCTCCGGGTCCTCCAGTTTCCCCTCCACGAGTAGAATCACGCGTTTAGAGTGTTTGGTTGCTTTACATTTCCACACGATAAGCCGCTTCGTTCGAGTTATCATTTGTGGCCAGGTCACTTCTGGAAAAAGTGCGATGTCGCTCAGTGGGTCTTGCCTGGTTAAATAAAAGAAAGAAACATTGTTTCATTTTTAGTTGAGCTTAAGAAGGTGCGATGTTTTTCACCGGTACAGTTTGCAGTATTTTCGCATTAGCGGGTTATTTTTGCTGTTGAAGCCGAAATGAGTAGTTTGCAGATTTGAACCATAGCGTGGGCACACAAAGGCCTACTCGTTATGAATGTCGTCAGGGAATGTTGAACGTCCGTTGTGGAGCATTTCATGGTTAGCATACCAACAGTAACAACCAGGGCGGCAGGCCAGATTTGAACTTCGAACCAATGAACAAGCGGTGACCGCCATAGCGCTGGGCCGCATCACCACACAAAAGCATATCCATGGGAAAAAGATTCCGAAGGGGGAAATAAATAAATAGATAATCGTTATTTTTGACACTTTAAGGCAACGTGTCGCGCTGATGTTACTCATGAAAAACAACGTGAGTCCACAGAACTAACTTATTTAGAAACTGTTAAGTCCTGCGCAATACAATAACCATTAGGGGTTGTAATGCGTCTTTAGTGCAATCGCGTCTCGATCTCAAGACCGTACACAATTGTGTCTGTGTGTGTGTGCATCACGGGGGAGCAGGGGAGGCTGGGGGGGGGATGGAGATCAAGACGTCATCGCAACCAAACATCGTTCATGCCACCCGCACCTCCTTGCCAATGCTCTCCACCCTCCGCCAGATCCCGCAGCCGCTGCACGGCAGAGACACGCAGCGACCACCTCCCACGATCTGCCAGGGACAGTCTCCGCCATCTCGGCCTTGCGTCTCCTCTTGCCCAGACTCCAATGTCCCGTGCATGTGTGTACGTGCCAGTGTGTACGTGCGTTTCTTTTGAATATGTTGCCGAATTTTTATTTTCGCACCGTGCGTGGCCAACCGTGCTAATCGGAGGTGCGGGGGGGAGGACACGTTCCATGGCACATCGGATGAGCGCAACTGTTTCTACGCAAATGCTTCGCGCCCCGAGTTCCATTCGCAGCAAGCGGCCGACCTGGTGCGGTGCGTGAACAGTCGCAATGTGATGAGACACAGACAGCGCATGTGGGAGACCCCCCCAGCGCCCCCACGCCCCCCCGCCCCACCGCCGCACCCCCCCCCCCCCCCGCCCCACCCACCTCAATAGCGGCGTGACGGCTTTTTAACAATAGGTGCTCGCTAACAGCGCCTGCGTCGCCTCGACAGGGGGTGGGCGGCAGGGGGGGGGGGGGGGGCCTTTGGAGCCACCTTCATTTGTCCACGGGAAGATTCCCATTCGTTTCGACCGCAGCAGCAGCGGTCAGGATTTATCTTGACGCGCGCATTTTAATCATCCGCTAACGAGTTCCGCATTTTAAACGGGTGACAAACTCGGGACGACCGAGAGCGCCGCGGGGGGGGGGGGGGGGGGCACGGTAGGGAGGGGGGGTAGGAGGGGGCTGGTGGAACGGCGGGAGGGGTCGTTTAAGTCGTGGGGGACGTTGGGACGCCGCGTGCTTAGTGATGATCGCAGTCACGTGGTGGTGATGATGGTGGTGATGATGGTGGTGATGGTGGTAGTGATGGTGGTGATGATGGTGGTGATGGTGGTGCTGATGATGGTGGTGTTGGTGGTGATGATGGTGGTGATGGTGGTGATGATGGTGGTGCTGATGATGGTGCTGATGATGGTGGTAGTGATGGTGGTAGTGATGGTGGTAGTGATGGTGGTGCTGATGATGGTGGTGTTGGTGGTGATGATGGTGGTGATGATGGTGGTGGTGGTAATGATGGTGGTGGTGATTGATGGTGGTGTTGGTGGTGATGATGATGGTGGTGGTGATGATGGTGGTGATGGTGGTAGTGATGGTGGTGCTGATGATGGTGGTGTTGGTGGTGATGATGGTGGTGATGGTGGTGATGATGGTGGTGGTGGTAATGGTGGTAGTGATGGTGGTAGTGATGGTGGTGCTGATGGTGGTGGTAATGATGGTGGTGGTGATTGATGGTGGTATTGGTGGTGATGGTGATGATGATGGTGGTGGTGATGATGGTAGTGGTGATGGTGGTGGTGATGATAAACCTGCATCGTACGGGACGGACGATCCTTCCTCAACGATGTATTTGCTCCGCTCCTCGCAGTGGCGTACATTGCCGACCCTGCCGATTTAACGCGTGGAAATTATTAGATTTGCATGTATAATTAATACAGCAGATACACCTTTTGGTTAAATATAACTACATACTATTAATGTAAATATTAAAGTACGATTTCAATGTGTCCCAAAATATGTGAAAGCATTGTCTTCCACGGTGTGTGTCTGAGCCGACGACTGTGTATGTGTGTATTATGTAAACAAAATACTGTATTCAACGCGCTCGTGAATAATTATAACACTGTGTGTGCGTGGTTGGCCTGTGTATTTGGAATTTGCGTGTTCCTATCTCTCCCCGTGGTCGCGTGGATTTTTCTCCGGGTCCCCCGATTTTTTTTCCCCTCCACATTTAGAATCAACATCGCGCGTTTTAGAGTAACATTTCCACGCGATAAGC